CCAACTAACTGAACGCCTGGAAGAGGCCAGTGAAATAGACACGAGACAATTAGAAAGTACTTTGAACGGGTTTAATAACGAGACTTCCAGTCTGAAATTCGGGTTGCAAAAACAAATTCAGGTAATGCCAAAGTTCTACCTTAGTTTTAAAGCTACAAACTTAAAATACAATTCACGGCTTCTTCGAAAACTAGCAAGAAACGAGCCAATTTGCCAGTATTTCCAATGTCTTCTTTTGACTCTTGAGTTTTGTGTTTGTGTTGAGAAATCACTGATACGAGCTCCACCCTAACAATCTTTCGAAAGAAACTTAGTCGAGATAAACTTTGTCTTGTAAATCTACCTTACAGTGTACTTTTAAAACGTGATCCACTGAAGAAACCTCTAAACGAAGTTCTTTGCTTTCCTTTGCTTCTTTCTCCTTGTTAATGTCGCTGCATGTACACTTGAGATAGCAGCCTGAAAGAAAGTTAATTAAAACGTCCAATTAACAATGGCTAAACTGAAACCTAAAGAACAAAATATACATACAGTGTACACTCGACTTAAGTTCGCAAATTTAAATTAGAACTCTCATCAGGATGTATGCTTGTCGTTTGGCTACATCATCATAGCAGAGATAATAGGATATACTAAGATCAACTCAAAACGCGGACAAGCAGCAACACGAAATAAGTAGCACCGGCTAAAATATAGCACTAAAATTAACCTTCATTTCCAACGTTTGCAGGCGAAAAGCTCACCAGCAAAATAGCACAATAAAAATTTCACGGCAAAAAAAATGTTCCCGGCAAAACGGACAAAATTTATATTTTCTTCCTGAGGATGAATTTAGGAGTGGTTAATAGTCGCCAATCTTAAAATGACTCGCAAAATGTTTGAAAATAAAAAAGCTCTCGGGTAGCTTCACATTTTTAAAGTACTTTGCCGGACGCTTATGACCAAATAGAAACAAAAATTGAAATATTTACTCAAGCAAATATCAAGACAAAGTTGTTGTCTCAAATGCAATATGCATTTATGCAGACAATATATTTCACAGTTGTTTACAAGTAATTATGGTTTTCTTTTGAAATTTTGGGCTGATCACTCATGAGGCGCATTGATACATAAGCTACTCTGAAATCCGAGGGTAAAAGTCATGTGTGTATGCATGTATACATGAACCAGAAATCAATTGGTCTTTAATCAAATTAGGCCCCTTTTCTCACAATTTGAATATTCATCAACAACAGTACCTCGGGCATTACATTTTTAAGGAATGTTTGTATAACCTAACTCAACTAGTTTTCTCACTTTGAAAATAGTCCACCTCAACCTGAAATCAAAGTACATCTTGAAGTCCGCTTCAATCTTCGCAGTGTTTTGCTTGATTTCCAATCGTTTACTGAAAAACCTGTTTTTGGATGTGCTTTTGCTTATCCTATGATATTATTTTTATCATATTTAGTTAAAAAAAGTATGGATCTAGTCTCCGTGATATGCAAATTGGATATGAAATGGTATCTAACACGCATGTGCACCAGCTGACTGTGTCCGGTTAGCCATATAACAAAGGTTTCTTGAAATATTCGTACAGTGAAACAATAACATCTCAATTTGCTTAAATTCTTTACCTGCATTGTGTACTATTACACTCATTCACTTCCTATTACCTGCACCATCACGTGATTAAAAACCCTTCCTTTTAAAAGAAAATTGTGACTTACCTAATAAGGAATCTAGTGTCTCAATTTGATTCTTTTCCCTCTTGAGTCTCAGCATAGTATTTGTTTTTTTTCCGTGTCCTATCAAGTAAGAATTAGGAAATGTTCTAACCTTTGTGACATTCTTGGTTTCATGTCTTAGTTTAGAAACTACACAAAAACAGACCAATTTTTTGTTCCATTTTAACCCTACTAAGGCAAATTTCGACAATAAAGGTATAGTCAAGTCTGCACCAGGCCAAGTGGTGCAAACCACCCCAGCTTATCCAGGTCTCTGTTGCACTAAGTGATAAGCATATTTCTGTTGCACCTGGATGGGATGCTGGTCTGTCACAGGGTTAGGAACCAGTACTTATTTGTACAACTACAATTGTGGACAAAAGTCCTTGAGACACTGATGTAATGCAACAAATTATCGGTGTTTTTCAACTGAAGTTTGAAAAAGCACTGCTATCCTTGTAATGTGTTGCTGTTCCCCTCTCCGTATCCAATACTGTTACAATGTTGAAACTCAGGAGATATGGTAGGTACCAGTTTTAAACAGTGTATGTGGGGTGGGGGGAGAGGCTTGGCAGGTGAAGTTGTATTAAATAAACCTTCACCTGCCTAGTGCAACTGTTTGTCCGGGTTGTGTGCAAAAGCATAAAAGTGCAAATTTGTCCAAAGACTTTTGTCTATGATTGTAGCTGGAGAGAAGTAGTGTGAAATTTAAGTACGCAATGCAGAGACCCTTACAATTGGCTCAAAACTAGACTTGATGTGCAGTCCACTACACTAACTGTGTTCCTCCTCCCACACAAAAATACTCCTCAACAACAGTACCCCAAACATTGTAGTCTTAAAGAATTTTTGTACACCCCACTCCTGAAGGGCTAAGGTATACAGCCACATAACAATGTTTGTTGAAATAGCTGAGTAGTAGTGAAACAATAACATCTCTATTCGTTTTAATTTTCTGCCTGAGTTGTGCACAATTATTCCTGGTACATGTACATGATATCAAACATAAATAAAATTGCGACTGACCTGCTATGGGATCCAAGGTCTCAATTTGATTCTTTCTCCTCTTGAGTCTCAGCACATAGCTCTTTTCCTTTGCATCTCTGTTCTGTACCTAATGAGAAACTGAAAATGTTTTTACCTTTAAGGAATTCCTTGATCTCTCAAGTTTTACAAACTACACAATTTAAAAATAAGTCATTAGAAGTTTGGACCTTACTTGGGGGAGTTTCAACGAAGAAGGTAAGGTAAAGTCTTCATCAGGCCATCAGTGATCCAAACTGCCAAACCTTACCCCAGTTTCTGTAACATCAATTGATAAGACATCTTTTTCTACTCCCCCTGCCCCCTTAAATGGAATGCCTGATCATTACAGGGTTAGCCCCAGTATGAAATTCACCCAGTACCCATTTGTATATCTGGGTGAAGGGAGACACTGTGAGAGTAACATGCCATGTTCAAAAACACAATGCAGTGAGCTGTCAAACATAACTTCTCTATTTGTTTTAATTTCCTGCCTGTCTTGTGTGCCACTATTCCTAGCACAGGTAAAGTAAAGTTACTGATGACCACTCCAATAAAACACAAAGACCCACCTGATATCATATCAGGTGAGTCTTTGTGTTTTATTGGAGTGGTCATCAGTAACTTTACTTTACTGCTTTCAAGAAGAGGAATAATTCCTCTTCTTGAAAGCAGTTTATCCTTAATGGTGATGTAAAATCTGAAGGTGTGGGATTTGACACACCACTTTACACCAAGAACATGGTCAATACGGCAGGGCTGTCAATAAGGGTCATAACACATAACACCTGTTATGGCTGAGTATGTTTGATGGACTGTTGATGTTATGGGTCAACTGGCCTGTGGTTGATACAATTCACCCATAAAGTAACAAGTTTGCTACGGGTGTGAGAATCAAGGCTACAGGTGAATTAAAACTTAATAACAGCCCTGATGGGGTGGCTCACTGTAGTTTAGATCCGACCTTTTAACATCTTTGAACTGTTGTTCTTCAGCAATGGACTGAAGGGCATTCTGTTGCTTGCAGATGAACGTTGTAAGATTAAATCCACCTTTAGTGCATGCTTGACGGCAGAGGAATTCCTTTGATTTGTTCCTTGGCTATGGTTTCTGCACTGACAGAACAGAGGTAGTCATCTGTGGAGCGCATTGTACTTGCAACAGCACTCCCACATATTTTCCGTTATCATTTGCTGTCCTTTGCTGGGCGTAGTTGGAGCAGCTTGGGGAAGAGATAGCTCCAAAAGGGCATACAGCCTTTCAATATTCCACAAGGCTCTTGGAGTAGTAGCTGCCCTGCAGCTTGGAACAATGATCTCCTTGGGTTTTTCAGGATGGTACATGCCATGATGGGGATGGTCCATGTGCATTACTGGGATCTGTCTTCAGGGGTGTCTTGAGGAACCTTCTCTGCATAACCTTACATGATTATTTTGTTGACACACGCTACATAATCCTTCCAATACA